AGTCATATTAGAAGGTATGTCATTAAATAACTATGCATGGTAGAAGTTGAATAATTATTTTTGTTGAGTAAAAAGTTTGGACTGAAGTTGAATAAATATTGTTGTTGAATGAAAATAATTTTGGTTGAATATGAAAAGAAAATGGGTGTCGTTGAACATAGATATAAAATGTTGAATATAACTGTAAACAGTTGAATAAAAATATATTTTGTTGAGCATAAATATTAGTTGTTGAATAAAAATATGCAAGTTGTTAAATTTTGCAACATTTGGCAAACCATAGTATGTCACGCGTGTTACGTGTTTTTGCGTGATTCTAGAATTCTCGACCGTCATTGTTGTATTGTTAAACTTGTTGACCTGACCCTCAGTCAACATGAATATAATTACTCGTAATTGTAATGATTCTACATAGGCTGATGTAGAGAACCATGATTAACTGCAGCATCTATTTCCCCAGAAAGTCTTTTTAATTGCTTCTCAGTGGTCGTTAAGTTCTCAGAGTATTTTTTCGTTAATTGAGCGGACTTTAAATAATTTGTTGGTCAGTGCGCCTTGGTGAACTCACACTACGCTCCACTAATTTGCTTTCCTACTCACGTACCCTTGAGAGATTTTATAGGTAAACGGATTCTCTTTCAATGGTAAACAGGTTCTCTTTCAAAGCTTCTCTCGTCACGCAACTTTGAACGTGCTTTGGAAAACGAACAATTTTCATGGTAAATATTACAGTACACATAGCGAATCATGCCTTTCATTCATTCGAATTTAAAACCGTTTATTTCTCCAGAAATTTATTCTTGTCTTTGGCCACAGATATCAACAAGAGAGGAATCATTTTTGGTTGGAATTCCTACGCCCGCAAAAAAATTAACTGTCCCTTATCAAGCCTCGTTGAGTTATCATTAATTCAAGGCACTACAACTTGCCAGTGTAAGAGCGCCTGAACATGGCATGCGAGCCTCTTGAATATGAAGTGGCTTAATATCTCTAGCACAGCTGAGGTGCATGTGTGAATTGAGCACTTAATCGGTAATTTCGTGGTCAATTTTTCATAACTTGGTCAGAGACTCGTAGACAAGCGTTTAACCTAGCAAATTATGAATTAAATGATATCTGAAAACGAGACAGTACTAAGATATTTTTTCCCTTAGATCTTGGACTCACTTCTTTTTATCGCTCAATGAGATTATTCGCGTTTCAGGTGAAGTGCAAGCGACAGTTCTGATTTTCGAAATCAAAAGAACAACAAGTGCGATCATAAACTGAAAATGCTCCATGTAAGGGATCATTGTGCAGTGAGAGGACAACTTGATCACTTCTGTGCAATCCGGCTTGAAAAATTTTGGAACAAGAATAGGTTCCTTACGAGAAGGAGGCGAAGGAAGAGCGGGGGGAAGGGAGGGAGGGGGAGCAGTGGGAAGGAGGGTGACAAATGCAGTTACCATGGTAACAATTTTAGCATGGACCTATACTCCCGCGTCTAAGTTATTTACCGCAAAATTAATTCAAATGTTGTTGTTTTTTAGTATTATATGGCTGTGTCTCACAAGGACTGAGAACTACCGAATTCACGAATTTGATTGGCTGAAATCAATATTGAAAGTGGTCTAGATTTTCCCATCTATATCGGCATCTAGACCGGTCTAGAAAAAAAAGTTACAAAGAATATAAAAAATTGGCATATAAGACACAGCCATATAATAAACATTTTATTAACCGAGCTAGGTCGGTCTGTATGGGGGAATCTTGACCTCGGTCACTGGCACAGACCTCACTGCGTTCGGTCTGTACTGGCGATCTCGGTCAAGATTCTCCCATACAGACCTCCCGCTCGGTTAATAAGAACTAATTACAGTTCATACAGTGTCTCCCAGCTAA